TTAATGGAGTGAAAGACTGAGCGGTGGTGGTGGGCTGCTGCAAGTTCTATATACCCTCTGATATGTATATATAAAGTTTATATATTTATATGTGCGTGTGTCAGTGTGTGTGTGTGTGTCTACACACACTCAAAGTTGATGCCAGTGGTGGAATGGAGAGGAGGCACGTTTAGAATCTTGGGAAAAAATTTGTGGCAAAAACTAAATTTTAACATTAAACAGGGGCGGGCCAGGCAGAAAAAAGTTGCAGGAGCTGGTGGCAAATAGGGATGGCAATGGGCCCCCGAAACCCGAAACCCGATGGGTAAAAACTCAATTAGGAGCCAGGTATGGCTATAATTTGGCCCCATAGATCTGTTAATGGGGGAAAAAGTCCCCCCATCGGGTCTAGCGGGGATGGGTCCGTTCCCCCCTCCCCCCATACCCGTTAACCCATGGTATAATGTACCCGATATAATTTGGCCCAATATATGTTTTGGCCTAGCCGAAAAGACTCAGCAGGCAACAACACTACTAATCCCTAGATATATAACTAATAAGAGGCAATCTCAAGAAAACTTAATTGAATATACAATATAATAACTACTTGTGTATTATTTTGTTTATCCCTAGTTATTAAATATACAAGGGCATGCTTGTTTATGGATTTTTTCAATCCAATTTTTTCAACTCAAATATTTAGCTCAACTTTAACTCAACCTCACTATCTTTAATATTATTCATACAATTAACAATAAAAACCAATCATTCTTACACATCACATCAACTTTAATTCACTATTCATCCACTCACATAATTTTAACTACCAATCATTTCCAATCATTTATCTCCTACTTTATATCAAATCAACTTTAATCATTTTTATTTTAAATATTATTTTAATATATTTTTTAAATTCCACTAACAATTAACCACATTACTTTTTCAACTTTAACTATAGTTAACATAATGAAATATTTTGGTTGAAAAAATTCATAAACAAGCGCCCCTTAATTCATACTTGTGTATGAATTATTTTCAATATTTAAAACACATTCCTTATTTTGTTTATCCTAGTTATTGCACTACTTGTGTATGAATTATATTTTCACTACTTAAGTTATTATGTACACTACTAATCCCTAGATATATTTTTTCAATATAATTTGGCCCAATATATGTTTTTTGCTTCTTATGAATTAATTTAGATCGTTCGAGTTAGTTTTTATATTCATCGGGTCTGTGTCACCCGATGGGTACCCGTCACCCACACGGGTGCCGGGTCTGGGGGAAATTTGGACCCGCGACGGGTGATGGGGGCGGGTGACGGGGGCATTTTCCCTAATGGGGACGGGTGACGGGGGGTCCCCCAGCGGGTTTGTCACCCATTGCCATCCCTAGTGGCAAATTGTTTGGTAATGGTAGCTCAATGGAGGTCGATTTGGAATATTGAGAAAATATTTTCATATAATATGTATGGTGACAAATATATATTAAAATAACTAATATGTAACCCGTGCGATGCACGGGCTAGTACATGTTTTGGAAAAATTAAAAAAATTAAAAGGTCATTTATTAATAAGTTGTTATAACACGTATAACATTTATAAAGTAAACATAAAATCGTCATTGGCAAAAAAATATACATTATTAAAAACCTCTGAGTGCATATATATCGCCTTGCTTAAATACACCTCGAAATGCACACATATACGCAGAACGTATAATGGCAGTTATTTGCGCACCCTACAATATAAAGTTATACAAAATAAGTTAAATTAAAAAATTACATATGTTAGTAATACAGATATAACAAATCAAAATATTACCTCACGATCTTGAAAAATGATCTCAAAAAAATTATTGGATTCCACGTCAAATTTCGTCTCAATAATTAGAATTGCTTATTAACAACATGGAGTGTATCAAATAACTCTCTTATTTTTTTTAATATTTTCCGAAAGTTCTATGCGTTTTTTTTTATGGACAGGAATTGGAGAAGTTGATAAAATATGTTATTTATATATATAGGAATCAATTAATATATATTAATTTCAATTAATTTAATTGTTGAGAGTGGCTTTTAATTACAAACTTATTGAAAGGGAATAAAAATTGGATGGTGTAGGATTTTGGGTATTTTATAGAAATGTAAATACTAATCTTTACGTCCAACTTTAATTAATTGATGAATTGAAATATTAATATTTATTTTTTTGTTGGCGGACTCCAAAAAATTGCATAATAAGAGGCCACATAATGTATCTTATGGATTTGTACATTTGTATTTTATCGTGTAGAAGATATAAACTATTTTTATATTAAATCTGCAAAAGTGTAAAACGTGTTGAATAAAGCAAAAACGCATATATGCATTTGGTTCGTATTGATTTAATTTCCTTTTACTGTACATATTAGTATTCTTTTTTGATTTAATTTCCGATACCTGAACGAATTAGTATTGTTTTTTTATTTAATTTTCTGACATGGAAGATATGATTTCCGTTTTACAATCATTGGCAATTTCCGTTTTACAATCATCGGCAATTTATAGAGTTTTTTAAATATATTTTTTATACTAAACGATTATATATATATATATATATATATATATATATATAGAGAGAGAGAGAGAGAGAGAGAGAGAGAGAGTGTGTGTTAATAGATATATAGAAACATGTTTAATTCATTATAATAATTGATGTACATCATTAAGCTTAATCTTTATAGAAACAGAGTTAATTAATCCAATTTATTATAGAAACAAAAATTTATACACGCACAAAATATTAATCGATTATAGAAACACAATTTATAGAAACACAATTAATTAATTTATAGAAACAATTTACAGAAATGAATCTCCCAAATGTATTATTATATTATTTAATTAGTTGATTAATTGATTAAGCTTAATATTTTTTTTAAGCGCATAAAAGAAAAAAAGAATTCGATATTTTATTTTAAACAACAATTGGAACTCAATAATTCAAGCGTATAAATATTACTTAATCCAAACGAATGAGAGACGTAATATCACGATAACAAATATAATAACACTAAAATTCATAATTCAACGACATGGAATGACAATAAAACATAATAAAATTAATAAACAATAAATATATTAGAAATAATAACCTTCAAGGACATGGAAGAACAATGAAATTCATAATATAAATATATTAGAAATAATTTTGATATTACTAATGAAAATATTTAATTGTTCATCATGAAACAATATATGGAATGCGTTCCAGCTCTCCCGTTCGTGATGCATTTCAATTATCCGGACTGCTTTCAATCGCAAATAAGGTTTGTTTGTGTTTGCAATATTTTTGGGCAAGTAGTAACCGAGTTACCCGACTCGGGTCGTTCTCTAAGGAAGGTTAGCCGGATTAAATTGTACGTTTATTCAATTCACACAATAGA